CCTTTACATTTTACAGATCAAACTTTAAAGAAAATAAGAAGGAGAGATAGAAAGCCGGGGCATCGAGATGATCTCGTTCGATGACGAGTCTCGGAGTCTCCGGCTACCGAAGCTGTTCATTAAGCGAGCTTTCCAAATGATTCTTCGAAGCAACGCCTATTCCAACAAAATCCTAAGATCGCTTCTCATAATTATGCAACGCGTCCAATACATTCGCGTTGCCTATCCAGTCTTGCGATACGTTAGCTCGGATGGAAAACAAGGAGAAAGTATCCGAACTCCTAACAAACGCCACCCGATAGCGGAATGCTGCGTCGTTATGACGACTGATTCAACAAAACCGATACTAGTAGAATATACTTAATTAATTATTCTAAATCTTTGACATTCAATTGTAACGTGTTTATCGAATCTCCTCCATAATTCCAGATACAATCAAATCTACAGTTTGAAACTCGCTGTTTCAAATCGTTCAACTAGGAAGATTCAAGCTTATTCGAGTGGACCGTACGGAATACATCATGAAGAAGAGGAAGAACAATTCAACGGATGTGGTAGTACTTCAGGAACGACACGTTTATACTGCTCTCCTCCTTGGGCCTGTATAATCCGAAATGAAATTTATGTTTGTAAAGATTCCATGTTCGTATTTATTTTATGCTGAATATTTCGTTTGTTTATATAAATATATTATATTTGTATATATTTACAAATTGTTATATCCTATACATAGAATATAATATTAAATAAATAAATCCAGAAATACGAATTAAACGTCGCCTTTTGTGCATCGTGTCACCGTGATCCGAAGGGATACGCATGCGAGGCATAAATAAGGGGAACACGAAGGTTAAATCAAACGAAAATTGTCAAACATCCCGATGACGCCAGCAAACACGTGTTCGTATACCTTTGCAGTGCACACTGTTATCAGGAATAATCTACGTCGTTCATCCTGCTGTGCCTAATAGGATAATCGCAGAGAAGCTCCCGTTCGCCATGATCAACAAGAAAGTAAGGAAAACAGTTGGTTCAGGGCTTGAGGGTGGAGGCAGGATGCAGGAACGCCACACGTCTTCCGGGAGGACAGTAACGCCGAGGAACAGCCGCGGGCGGCTCCACGCTACAAACAGAGTCCGCCCCCACGAGGAATATCTGAATTTCCCTCTCCTGCCTCCTCCCTCCCTCGATTTTCTTCGTTCGGCCGGGGTTCTTCGTTAGCGGTTTCGAGGGTAAAGTACCGTGGAGTTGGCTAATTGGTTGAACGCCTCCGGGCAGCTACTCCCGGAATCCATGAGATATCCAAAACCCTTCGGCCCTCTCCCTATATTTTCTCTCCGTCCCGAACCCCTAGCCCCTTTAGCTCCTCTAGACCCTCCCCTCGGTTTCCTATCTCTATCTTGGCATCTGGATCGACGCGAGAATGAAGAAGGTGTAACTATACAGGGTGGTCCCTTCTGTGTGTAAGGTCATCTAAGTATCTCCTTAAATTGTTGGGGTACAAAAAATATTTTGTACGCTCTATGTCAATGGTTTGAGAAAACTATTATATTTCAAAAAAATATTTTTTCGTAAGGTCAGTTTTTCGGAGTTTACAAGATTACGGATGCTTTTTCACGTACAAAACCGCATGATCTTGAAATGAGCTTCGAATTCGGGAATTAAAAGGGAACGTGAATTACATCTCCTCCAGCAGTGTGGTTATGTTTATATTTTTATACATATTTTTCTAATATATACACACTTTTTTAATATATAACTTTATATACTTTTCTAAATATTTATATACTTTATATACTTTATATGCTTTTTTCATATACTTTTACTAAAAAGTAGTACTTCTTCAAAGTTATTTTTTTTATGGAGTCTACGGTCATGTTTGGTACCTGGTTGTATTTTTACATCAGCTACGTGATGCAATGAAAAAATTACTCGATTGTATGTATGGAGGCTATTATTATATATACTATTATTATTATATATATATATATATATATGGAGACTCCGAAAAAAACGCCCTTGGACAAAAAGTATCTCTTGCAAAATAATGGTTTCTTTTCGAAACATTCAAACAGCATAGAAAATATTATTTGTAACCCCACAATTTGTGGAGATATTTAGACAGCCATACTTAGGCTGATCACCCTGTATACTTTCTTCGAGATTACAAAATCGCGTTTTCTCTGTTCGAAACGGCGGGAGGGGGGGGGGGGCGTAACCGCGAGGATGGTCACCCTGTCTCTGCCTGTCTTGTCTGTCTGTCTCTCTAGTCTATCTGGCCGTGTCCTCTGTGTGTGTATGTGTGTGTGTGTGTGTATGTGTGTAGAAGGGAATGAACACTCCGGAGGACGTTCCCGTCGAGTTTATCGTGAAAGTTTTCGCCAGTTGTCCGAGGATAAGGACGAAATCCAGAGATCCCGCTCGGCGACAATGAGGACTTCTACAGACGATATCCGACGATCGTAATATAGTGCCGTCGATTCCGCCGGCGAGCATGGCCGCGGGATATCGCGGCCGATGTTTGTTAGTTTTACCCCTTGCTCCGGGTTCAATTTGACGCGATCCAAAACCGCGGAAACCAGCGTTATTTAAGCGAGCGTGTTATCTATTATTGTGCGAGATACCACTTTTGATTAGCAGGTGTGCACCGTCCGTCATACGAATTTAAAGCACCGACATCCTCTGACCGAATGCTGACGTACAGGTCATAGTCGGGTCGTGCGTCCCCTAAGTCAAAGAACCTTTCTAAAATTGGAAAGATTCATCGCGTAATTAAAATTGTTTGGTTGTTATCAATGGTATTGATAATTTAATAATAGTATAATTTTAAATTCGTTGTGTAAATTATTGTATTTTATTTGAGTCTATTCTATTCTAATCTACTTTATTTCATTTCATTTTATTTTATTCTATTTTATTTTATTTTCTTATTTTATTTTATTACATGGTATATAATATATAAGGAAATGGACCACTTGTAATCCGTAAGGAAATCGATAAAGTTGATTAATGAAACTTGCCACCAGTTTATAACCGAAGGGGATTGTTCGTTGCGAGTATTTTGCGTTGTTAGGCCAAGAAAGATCGTGAGCCACGCTTGATCCTCTAACAGGTACTCTCATTCGCAAACCGTGATTATAGATTGAATCGAGCCGAGAATTGTGCTTTTGAATGCGGCCCTATGCCGGCACGGAATGATTACGAAATTATAGAAGCGCATTGTGCCCCACGATTAAAGCAAACGCCTCACGGCGGATTCTTTTGTTTCGTTGGGTAAACGCACCGCTACACGGTCCCGTGCATACGCGACGATCTGCTTATTTAATCAAGTCGATATTATATCACGCGATCGATGCGTTTCCAATGTATCCCCCCTGGGAAGAAATGATTATTGTGATACTGTGTGCATTACGAGGCGATATAGACCTCGCATTAACGAGTCGATCGCTGGTCAAGAAATAAATAACGTGGAATATTATTAATATTCTTGCCATTTCGCGATAATTTATCGAACGGACAAAGTTTCATTTAACCCGGTGCCAAATTATAACTATTTTTCATGGAATTGTTTGAATTTCAGTTAAAAATGCCTGATACCCGATCTCGCACATGCGGTGTGAAAATCAATTTATTCGGTCGAAACGTATGTCTTGGCATGCCACACCCTTGTTCGAACGTGTTACAGATTGCAGGACTTCTTCTTGCTACAAAGATAACCCGTGAACGATGCGAGATGCGATTTTTTATGAAAAAAGATGTTGAAAGCAGAGAATAAAATTTGTTCATTTGAGACTTCGTTTTTGAGAAAAATGCTAGAGACTAGAGAGCCGCGCTGGGTGATTCCTATTCGATAGCACATTCATTCCCTGAATTTTCAAATGTATTTTTCTCGTTAGCATAACCTCGAACGAAAAATAATATTGAACGAATTTTTCATCAAACGCAGCATGTTTTCCTTCATAATTAGTTCTTCTAATTCTGAATCTATATAAACCAGAGAAAGTTTTAGTCGACAGAAGATTAATGAATTCCAAATTAGAAAATATTTTTGTTCTACGAAGTAATCTGAACTAATACCGCGATCTACGTTTATCAGTTGCATATTTAACAAGTTTGAAGATTAATGGAGTTAATGTTATACCTGAGGAATAGATTCTCAGACAGATGGTCCCATCCACGATCAAACGCTGAAAGTGCTGGATAAAAGCTATGTGTATACCGATGTATGATAAAATTTCCAGGTGTAGGTACACATCAATTATAACTTTGCAGTCACCAATTTTACTATTTTAAAATTTCCTAATTCAAAGCGAAGTTAACGGAAAAAACTGCCTTTTCCTCTGATCAAATCGAATCAGCTAAAAATAAATTCAGTTCAGAATGACAACCACATCTTGTGGACTCGTGGCGCCATCGTGCCATCAGGTCTGGCACCTCGTGAGTGTTAATAGGCAGTTTAGGATCCGTACAGACCCAAATAAGGTATGTACCATGTACATTGCCAGGTATTGACGAGGTATACTTCGTCTTTGATATAATATTCCGTGTCAAATTCATCGTTACTCACATTTCCGAAATGTGTATACTTATTGTTACTGAGAATCGAGTATTCTCTATACCTCATCTATATTGTCACAGACCATATCTGGTCCTTGCTGTAAAGAACAATTTAGAAGTTCTTCAAAAATTACGAAATTATGAAGAGGAATAGTTTACCTCGATCAATCAACACTAATACTGAATTTCGGTTTAACATAGAAAACTCATCAGCTACGACTTCAGCAACATTATGCAATATTTAAAATTTCAATTTAATTCTTCAAACATTATACATGAGATTTAGGTACCTAATTTCAATTTTTGTATTATAAAATTGTGCATACGATCACTTGTACACCCACAAAAGTTACAAATCCCAATGGAACAAGTTGTAAATATATATGACGTTCAATGAAATGCATGATAAGAACAAAATATTATTGTAAGAAATATAGCATATGTTACATAGTAAATAAAAGTCAACCTTTTGTTGTTATTTAATAAATTCAATTATACAAAGCCACATTACATATCAAATATAGATTTTATAATATTCCCAGGCTCTTTTCAACGACAGCGTGTGGTTGGCCCATTTGTTCTTTAAATTCTGGTGTGTTCAATATATCTTCGAACCTAGAAAAAAGAGAATAACACAAATTAGTAATATACCCTCTAAATACAAGTACAGCAAAATCTCCCTAATTTTCCTTCAGCTTGTAAACAAAAATGGATAATTTGAGAAGAGGCGATACGATTATCCGAGCCTTATGGCTCGTTTTTATAATCGTTGACAATCGGCAATTATAAAAATGAGCCGCGAGGCTCGAGTTCTCCTCTTCTCAAATTGTCTATTTTTGTTTACAAGCTGAAGGAAAATTAGGGAGAATTTACTGTAATATGTTGTCAAAATAGAATTAGCAAGTAAGGTTTTTACCCTATGTCCTCGTCTCTTCCAAGTAGAACATCTCTCATCAAATTTGACGATGGCAGAAATGGTAATCTTCCAATTTGTTCAGTAGCTTTTAATTCCATTGCTATACGTATCGGTGCATGTATTCCTTGAATGTTTCTAAGTAACACCATATTCATGGATTCACGATTCTTTTGGGCCTAAAGAAAGTCTACAGTTGTATAACATATAAAAATAATATTACTAGTCTGATTCTTAAAATGATTTTCTTACATTTTTTTCAGTGGCTTCTAACGGATGAGAGAAACCTATGCTTTGTTTAGCCCCCGACAGTCTGAAAAGCAAGAAAATATTGCAATAAAAGCAAAATAAGTGATGTAAGTTTTCATATTATTTTTTAATAACGTTATTATTTGTACCCTGATATCATGGGATTCGGTAAACCATAACAGTCATTGTGAATTGCAAATTTTTCAACAGTTGGTTTTGGACCAAGCGATGGCAAATTGTAACTCTGGAAATGGTCATTATGTTAATTTCACTGCTGCATAGAAAGTCATAGAAACAGTTTCTAATCAATAACTTTTTATATTCTGCTTTAGAATACTGTAAACATATCAACTAACACAATCTTACAATAAAGAAAAGTAGAATTTTCTAAATACACATGTTAAAATTGTTCATAGTTAAATAAAACAGTCTATAATTAAAACTAAAGCTGACATTATTTTTTACCATTATGAAGTGTATTTAGTTCAACTTTTTACAGAAAGCAAAAGTCACTTCGGATGAATCCACGAAACTTGTATATTGTCCATAAACTTATTGAAATATGTATGACTTGACGTTTCACAATTTCACGAATGGTCATACAGCACAGTACATATAGTAGTGGATGCTGCAACACCAGAAATTGCTTTGTTCTGATTGGCTGACGATTCTATGTTTGCAGAAACATATCACTGTATTGTACAGAGTGTCCAGAAAATGTCTCGCAATTCAAAAATAGGAGGTTTCTGAGGTCATTTGAAGCAATTTTTTTCTTAATGAAAATGCAATTCGCGGTTTTGTTAACGTATTTTTAACGAAAAACACTGACCAATGAGAGGCGAGCTTGCCTAGCGCAAGACGGCCCAGCCAACGAACGCACGAAGCCCAGTACCGCTGATTGGCTTGACTACGGATTGCATTTTCGTTAAGGAAAAACTTGCTTCAAATGACCTCAGGAACCCCCCATTTTCGGATTGCGAGACATTTTTAGAACGTCCTGTGTATGTATTTTATAATTTAGTTTATTAATAATATATTTCTTTTTTACATTATTCTTCATAATTCTACGCAGGACACGTTTCAAAAAATTCTATAAATTGACCAGTTTTCGAAAAGGAAAGATAGTAACAAAACAGAAAGTGAAGGTACAAAAACAGAATACTAAATTTACTTATATTCTCAAAAGTTTTTTGGTCCAGTGTATTTTTCCGGCTTGATAAACCAATCGCGTATTCCGATTGTACGTTCTTTTTACTTGAATCGCCAAGTATTTTCTATTTCACAACAATAAAATAATAATATTTTTGTTATAATGTACGTTGCAATGATGAACATATATATGTATTGTATAATGGTAGTGTATATATACACAAAAATTCTTACTTTCATGCGAATAGTTCTTCTGATTTTCGATAGTTTCGCATCAGGCGTATTTTTTATTGCTGAAAGTGCTACGGTAAATTATTCTTATTTTATCTAAGAGATTTCGTCTATATTCAATAAAATTAATGAATCAAAGCTTACATAAAACACGCATATTGTTGCCCGGTGACATTAATCTTTGAAGTCTACACCTCTTTATTGATTGCCTCGGGTGATACTGTTATTTTAAAAAATCAAAATTATGGTGTCACATTTCAATACGAATTTTTTCTTCCGAAATATTTTTATTATTTAAAATTTTGTATACGCTGAATTATGCTTACTTTGTTTATAACTTCTTGTAAATCCATCGAAGCTAGATAGCCTAAAATCATGATTAATGGTAAAGAGAATAACAAAGCTATGTAGCAGGGTTGCTCACACGTTTGTGATTGGTCACATTGCGTCGTTCAACTACGCTGCCCTCTACCCCGACCCGGCTGAACTGCCATCCGTGACGTCACGGGCAGAGTCACGTGATATTTAAGAGAATTCGTGACAACGGTGTCATTCACATTTTATTGCATTTCATCTAGGGTAGAAGCACGGCAGAAGGTAGAACTGGCTAGAGAACTTAGAAAATACTCACTCTTGACAATACAATTACAGATATTTTATATGAAATAATACTTTAGCGAATTACCAATATCACAGTTAACAAAATTCAAAAGAAAAGACACGTGACAATATCACGAAAACAAATGGTTCGTTCAGTGACCTTTCTGTAGTTAATTATTTTGATGAGGTTAAGGTAACGCACGATTACTCCAAAACGTAAACATTGTTGAGATATCTGTAACATTATCTTTAAGCAAAAAGCCACATATGTTGAATATATTTTTCTAAAATAGTGCAGAGTAACATCAGCAGAGACTGACATCGTTTATTTTTCATTTTTGGTCCCAATAACCATACACATTTATAAAGATTTACGTATTCGAGGAACAGGAACCTAAGTTTTTGATGGCTTTTTCACAATCGAATTCAAGAGGTACCATCATTTGTAATTTTACAATGTTTCGAAATATAAAGCGATTATTTTATTTGGATTGGTTGTAGAATTGCAAAACAGGAAAATCTTAGAGGAATTGCAACTGAAAAAGCAAATGTTGTTGAAACAAGGTGTAGCACCAACTCTGAACACTTCTGTAGCACTTCCACCAGCAGGATCTCCCTCTAATTTGGTAACACGTACTTTTCATATTGCTAATTTATGGTAACTCAAAATAGTCATGCACTAAAAGATAATTTTTTAAATTTTTTGACTCAAATTTTAAAACATAGCGTACACTCAATCATATGTTTTTCTCTAGCCTTCAACACAACCTTCCGATGGCATTGCAATGAGTGCGTCACAAAGAGCAGCCTTGCATAGTGCTCATGCTGCTTCATCAGGATACTTTGTGACTCAGGACTCCTCTTTTGGCAATTTAATTTTACCTGTTCTGCCCAGATTCGATACTAAATGAAATAGCTAGCTTATATACATTCAAATTATAAATAGTAAATATTTAAGGAGACTGCATTTGTAAATAACACAATAGGAACTCAGCAAAGGGGATAAATAATTGTTTAAGTATATATATATATTTTGCGAGAACAGAGAACAACTCGATCAAAATGGTTAGTTTACAACTACGCAAGTTAGAGGAATACATGCAACAGTTGGATGGATTCGAGAAACCAAAAATATTGCTCGAACAGTACTGCACCAGCGCGCATATCGCATCCCGCATGTTGTACACTGCACAAAGCCAATTCGACGATATAGAAGGTCGTGCAGTGGCTGATTTAGGATGCGGATGCGGAATTTTGTCCCTTGGAGCACAAATGCTAGGGGCAGGCCACGTTGTCGGCTTTGAAGTAGATACTGATGCACTTCGGATACTTTCTAGAAATTGCAGTGACTTAGAGCTGTTTGTGGAAGTTGTACAATGCGATGTACTTCAGTATCTACCAGGTATGTACAAAGTTATTCATTTTAATCATTTAACATCACACATGTTTTCGAATAATTGCGTTGTAGGAAAATTCGAGAAATACTTTGATACAGTGGTGATGAATCCACCTTTCGGGACGAAACACAATACAGGAATAGACATGAAGTTTCTGGAAGTTGCCACGAAACTCGCATCAAACGCCGTGTACTCTTTGCACAAAACGAGCACGCGTAATTATGTGCTCGAAAAAGCGGCGCGGTTCGGCGCGAAAGGGAAAGTCATCGCCGAACTGAGATACGACCTGCCAAAAGCGTACAAATTCCATAAGAAAGTCACTGTGGATGTTCAAGTGGATTTTATACGTTTCGAATTAAACCATTGAATATTTTCAAGACACCAGCACGTTCTATTCGAACTTGATGCCCTGAGCCAATGGCAAATCGTTTCCATAATTAATCGTGATAGTTGCACGTCGCATGTAATGCTTCCATGCATCGCTGCCACTCTCACGACCACCTCCAGTCGCTTTCTCCCCTCCGAATGCACCGCCAATTTCTGCGCCGCTTGTTCCAATGTTTACGTTCACTATTCCACAGTCGGAGCCATGAGGACCAATCCACTGCACAGAATAAGTTTGTACAATCATCACCTTCATCTAGATGAAAATATAAATTACATTATCATTCACTTACCCGAAACACATTTTCTAGGCTTTTAGTAAATAGAGAACTGCTCAGCCCCTGTTGCACGCCATTGTTCAGAGCTACAGCATCTTCCCAGGAGTTTGCCTCGAAAATGTAGACTATTGGCGCGAATGTTTCGGTCTGAACTATTTCAGTATCGGCCGACAAACCGGAAATGATTGTTGGCTCCACGTAAAAGCCTGGTCTGTCTATCTGCTTTCCACCGAATTCTATTTTACCGCCACTCTTTACAGCACTGTCAATAGCTTTCTGAAAAGAGTGATTTTTATATTAAATCTTGAAGCATGGGTACCTTTTATGCACCTACTTTGTAGCTGTCGACTGCATGCTGATTGTGTAGAGGTCCGTATAAAGTATTGTTTTCTAGAGGATCGCCTATCCGCTCCAAAATGCTCTCATACGCTTTCTTCAATTTTCCTGAAGTATGTAATTCGTCTAAAGCAACGTTTTCACAATAGTTTTAAAGCTAATTTTTATATTTGCTCACCTAGAAATTCGTTTTTGATTTTTTTGTGCAGAAGTAATCTTCTGGTAGTTGTGCATCTTTGACCCGCTGTTCCCACACAAGAGAACACCGCTGCTCTTACTGCCATTTCCAGATCAGCGTCTTGTGCGACTATTAATGCATTATTGCCTCCTAATTCCAACAAAAATTTTCCGAATCGTTCCTGTACCTTCAGAGCCACTTTCTTTCCTACACTTGTACTTCCAGTAAACGAAACCAGAGGTACACTGAACACAAAAGAGCAGTTAAATAGTTAAAAAGAATACATTTTTGCCATTAAAGTATGTTATGCTCACCGCGTGTCTTCGACTATAGTTTCACCAACATCTGAACCACCTGTTACCAATGATGCAACTGATCCTGGTATACCATTTCTCTCCAAAACACTTGTGACAATTTTAGTAGTTGCAATAGACACCAAAGGAGTAGTCAATGCTCCTTTCCAAACTATAGTATTGCCACAAACCATTGCAATCGCACTATTCCAGCCATATACCTAAAAGCATCTTTTTTCTTTCAATTCCATTGATTATTATTTAATTAAATGTTACTTACTGCAACCGGAAAATTGAATGCAGAAATGACTCCCACTACTCCGAGAGGATTCCATTTCTCCATGAGAACATGATTCTTCCTTTCTGATGGAAATATACTACCAGGTAGTGTTCTAGATAAGCCAACAGCGTAGTCACATATGTCAATAAACTCTTGTACCTCACCAATACCTTCTGGTAATATTTTTCCTAAAAGATTGATATTATTGGAATCTTTTCAAAATCTATGAATAAGGAAGAATTACCCATTTCCAGAGATACCAATCGTCCCAGGGGTTTCAAGTTATTCCTCAATTCATCTCCAATTTGTCTTACTATCTCTCCTCTTGTTGGAGCCGGTAATCCTGCCCACTGTGGCCATGCTTTACGTGCTTCTGTAATAGCATTGCTTGCTTCCTGTGGGGTCGAGGTCCTAACTTTTGCTATCACTTTACCGGTCGATGGTGACACTGATTCTATTACCTATGTGATAACTATATGTTAACAGTCAGCTAAAAGATTTCAGTACTTGAAATACCTTGCCAGATCCTCCCCACCGTCCATCATAAAGGCCTGGATTTTCCATGGTGAGGCCTAACTCCTTCAAAAACCCATAATTCGGATCAGTTACCATGTACCTCGCCATTTGTACTTTCGTAATGTGACTACCACTTCTTGACAATAAACGGAACATTGTCTACTCTCAGCTAGCTCCCTAGCGTATGTAATGCAATGCAACAATCTTGGGGTTATCAACGTAATACCAGTTATCAGGAGGAGGAGTAGGGATATGATAAGTGAAAAGTAACAAATACTTTGATAAAACAATTGATCCCACCGCTTAGTCTTGTACATTATACTTTAATTACAATGTTATTTCGAAAACGATGTAAATTGACATTTAATATTTATATAGAAAATTCGCGCGTGTTCGTATTTTCTTCTCATCGGAAGAACATCTCGATAAAATGCTTCGAACCATACCGAAGAGTAGGAAGTACGTGGATGGCAACTGAAATGTAAAAAAAGGTCGCGATTTGTTCTGTAACAACAATGTCAACATTTCTATACAGCAGTGATTTCTACAGAATGATTGATGACTTCAAAAACTTCATGTCCACTTTCATTGCACAGTAGAAAACACTTGATATTTGTAACTAGATACAAAGAAGGGAGATTCGTTAAAAACGTTGATGTGTCGAAACTTTACAGCTGGTTAAAATCACGTTTAATCTTATGAATCCTTGTCTCCACTGGAATGTAACTGGTTCAACCGGGTCGACAAAATTGGTAGCATCTTAGGTCAGAAATCAATTGGAGCACTGACCTTGTCAACGTTGGTTGATCCTATGAACATTTAACAGATGTAATGAAATAAGTCGCGGATGTAAATCAGAGCAAAGTGTATTCCAATTTAACTCACCGTGGACTTGTCAAAGTTCCCTAACAATGTAGCTTTCTGCATATCATCTACTCCCTCGCATCCTGCTAAAAATGTCGGCAGGAAGTGTCCAAAGAACCATGCTATATTTACAGAAGCTAAGCTATGAATGGCAGCAGCGATTTCGTCTGCTAATAAATTGTGAGACCTGCAGTCCAAATGATAGTAAATTAGTAATGAAGTTTGCTACCAATAGAAACGTAAATTTTTTAACTCACTGTTGGAATAATACGGTGAACAACGCCATCAAGAACCTCTCTAGCAAATGCACTTTGAACACGGCTCTCTGATAAAGTCGCCATCGTAAGTTTAATTGTTCGAGACTCTGTAAACTTTGTCGGAATATGTTCACATCAGGTTGAAGAAGAGCTTGGCCGAAAGCTTCCAAGATGGCTACCAATTCCTCCTTATGTTCAACAGTTTCTTCCTCATCAGTATGGCCGAGAGTTCGTAGAACGGAAGTGTTGTAGAAGTATTGCCATCGGTGCATTAAAATACTGTGGGGTCATAGTAATTAAAACTCTATTACTATCGTCTATGATATTATAAACAGAAGTTTTCGGTAATACCTATGGAATAATTTTAATAAAACAAGTGTGGTATCCGGATGCGCGCTGAGGTCGTTTCCGACCGCTGGCCACACTTGTCCCAAACATAAACTGGTCACCGAAGGTACAAATGCTTTAAATGCGCTGCTGGGCGCTGACACGACCAATATTAAAATCTCTAATAACTGGTCTAACGCGGGCCCCGCAGATATATTCTCCCTGGAAATGTGTGAAATAAAAAATTGTCTCAGGTTGTTTTAATCGAATGGACTCGGATAACTTACCTAGTATAAATGTGCAGCATTCCTTGAACCGCATTCTGAGTAAACTCTGCCCCCAATTGTTGCTGTAATACTGAGAACACTGAATGCAGGAAGCTGAGTAAAATCTCGCATATACTTTGACATCTTATCATATATGGCAACAGTTCTAAAGTTCGGTTGATTGTTGATCCCAAACAAGAATGCAACATCTTTTTAATTGTCGTAGACGACGAGGAACAGTCTTCTATCAGCTGGGTTAATGGCACTACTGTTATCGCAATCGTCGATTCCGGAGGTACTGGTTGATTCTCCGAGCCCAGAGGTGTGGATAATGTTGAAACCATGGTGCCTAGCCCGATCAGTAAATTATTAACTTTTTGTCAATTAATTAATTATATTTTCTCTCGTCCTTACTTACTTAATAATCTTTCTCTGATACTTCCATCGCCGTGCGGTAGAACAATTGCATTTACCAGCGCCCTCCGTAATACCTTTATCGTATCAGGTTTCAAGAACGGATATGTTACCATGGTAATTAAATTTCTAAATACAGGCTCGTCCCACAAGACTGGTTTTAAAATTGCAGTGACGCTTTGGAAAAGGTGTGTGGCAGCATGAGTTAGACTCGCCGGTGGTGGATTATCACAGAAGGTCGTATAATCTAACGCTAGGGTACAGGAATCAATGCAACTTTGGCATAATGACTCCTTAGTCTTTTCTGGTCTGTTCACTATCCAATGGCACCAGGCTTGAAGGGATGCTAATAACTGGGAATGCCTGACAAAGAAAATATAGTATGGATATAAAATTCCTGTTCAAATGAAATAACCATAATTGAAGATACTTACACTTCTATAAGGTCTATCACGATAATAGCCGGTTGCAACGATGCTTTATACAATTGATTAGCTTTAGCAAATTTACAGGCATCCAATGTTTGCGATACTACTTCTTCCGCTAATGACTGATCAATGCTGTGCTCATCTCCTATTAACAGAAAAAATCATCGTTTTTCTATGATTCAGTATTATCGTATTTATATGCTCAACTCACCCAGAAAGAGTGAATAGAGTCTGGCTAACGCTTGAGTAGTGGACGCTAAGTCACGCAGATGTGCGTGTACATTAGAAGCTTCAGATTCGTTTAATAAAATAACTTGGTTGCTGGCTATGGCGGCACCTAGTTCTCCGAATATTATTAAACCCTCTCTCCACGAACGGTACTGAAAAATTTATATCAATTAGTAACTATGAATTAAACTTAATTCATCCACAAGTATACGTTAGATTTTACCAGTAGCGTGAATACTGGAATTGGACAAATTTCTGCAACTTTTGCTAGGCATTCCACGTTGCATCTTAAAAAATGTTGCCACTCAGTTTCATCCTAAAATTTAGGTAAACAATAATATTAGGTAAACATATTATAAAGAAAATGTTGATAAATTTCAGAAAATTATTTACATTTTCATCTAGACCCTCAGTATCCAGATCTTTTAATATGCGCGAATTGAGTTTAAAACTCATCTTTTGCAGCACGCGCTCAGCAAGAGCTAATGCTACTGGTGCATATCGAGACTGTGTACTTTCTAAAAGAGTGGTCCAAACGTCTAAACATCTTAGATATCCATTTACTGTTGAGCACTGTTGGAATGTGTGATGGCATAAGACCTCTAATAAAGTGTTTACCGGAAACTTGGGGCACGATTCAACTCTTTTCAGATGATTCGTCACGAATAACTGCAAGTATTCCGTGAGTTTTTCCATATAACTAAAAACATTAAAAAGCACTGTTAAAATGTAATTATAGTCATTAAAATGTGATCAAAAGAATTAGAGTATACAAGTAGATACCTTTCATCTATGGAATCCAAGCGTTCCATATACTGAAATAATGTGACTCCATTTTGAAATATTTCTACTAATAATCTATCGGTCACATCTGGAGAATACAATGGTCGATATAAAAGCTCATTTATCGTGGTTACAGCCTGCACAGCCAACTCTATCTGTTTACCATTCTATTAATCAACCTTACGATTAGTTGAAAGTTTCGCAGGCTACTAGACAACTGTCGATACGTAAAGTGTTAAAATATTTGTATCAGATCAAAATCCTACCATTGCTTCATGATACCTAGCACAAGTAAAAATAGCATCCAGCAGGTTTGTTGAAATATGTTCTGATAATTCGATCCAACCGAACATGTGAGCCAATACATCTAACGTAGCTATACAAACATCGCTGGTTCCTGTGGCAAGTCCTTCAACATCTAAAATAGCCCTTACAGGTGCCATGGTCTGGCCACTGGTGGGTGAAGGAGGTGGTGTAACGGTTCCAGAGCGGCTTTGCAACTTTGTTGTTTCTTTCAGAAGTACTGCACAGAGAAGGTAATATTACATTCCACTAAGAATGTACAGTGTGGTCCACCTATAGATCTCCTTCATTTGGAATCTGCGACTACCTTTAGATAGATCACCCTGTGTAAACAACAAAATAGAATTTTAAAGGGAATATTACTTGTGAGGGTATCCAAAGTCAAAGGTACTTGAGCACAGAGAAATCTAAACAATTCGTTCTTTCTCTGTATAGGCAAATCTTCCCTTGGTGTAGCTAGTTCCTCCGAAGCTGTTCTCAAGTAAATAAGTCCCAATAGTCTCGTATGTTTGTGACCTAACAACTTTCAATACAAAAAAAAGGATCAAATATGAAAAACAGTTTTAGAATAATTCATACTATTGCTAGATCTGTTATCACCAATGAACTTTATCAGAGATTAATGTATCTACGAACCTGCAAGATATTCGAGTAAAAGTCTGGATAAAAATGTGGCCAGTCATGTCTTGCGATGTCTACAACTAATTTCACTACTTTATTTCTTACGAAAGGAGCCACACCTCTTTCTAATGATAATGTGTACAAAGTGGATCTCGTGAGAGCTCTGTCTTCCCATGGAAGAATCGGCCACCGTCTTCCAATTGTTGTCTGCAACGATATTCCTCTTGTAAATAAAAAATCAATAATGCTAAAAATGGATAAATGTAGGAAACGTACCTCCAAAGTGGACAAAGCAAACATACTGACATAATGATTATTGGTAGAGGATAAAAAATGTAAACAAGGCCTCCAGGAGTTAATTTGCCCAGCAAACTCTTGAAAATTCCTTTCGATCGTACGTTTTCGTTCATTGTTCGTTTCTGACGAGAAGAATTCAGTCATAAGGTGTTCCAAATTTTGCAGTGCAGCTGCATCATTGTCCTAAAAATTGTAATTCTTGTTTTATACGGATCCAAAGACTCAAGAAACATGTTTAAAAAGCTCGTAGCATATGAAATATACGTATGGCAAATCGGTGTGTGTTTCATGGAAAAATGTAAGTACAATCACGCACCATGATAATTGAGATTGAAACGCGCGTTCCGATATAAATGTGATATAAACACGCAGTAACAAAGAAATCTGGCTTTCACTTGTCAGATATCATGTTTGGAGCAACAAAATATGTAATCAAACACTACTAATTTTCCCTCGATTGGTACAGGTGACGCTAGACTTGTCCCACTTTTAGGGGAATGTTACTAAATGCCCATTGACATGTATGCACCGATATGCACGAACCAAAATTAATAATTTCAGACGATTCTGCAATGGACAGATTTGGACGACTGTAACGCCTTCAGTGGAGAAAACGTAAAGCTTAGTTCGATGTCTGTGCAGCGCCGATTGTCGGTACTGTACTGTCTACAAAATACCGACAGTCGGTATTTTGGCTAATAGTTTGAGCGTTTCGCCACTACTCCAATTTGCACTTCGGAGTTTCATTCTTACTCCAAAAGAGGCGCCGCAATCGCCTATATATGCACAATACAGGGTCACCTAAAAGCATTAATTATGGCAAGATTAGGGCATTAAGAAATTAAACGAAGTACACGGAACAGTTCAGAAGCATCTGCTGCACCGATTTCGTGTAAGGAAACCAAACAACAACAATAACGTAAAATACAATTAATCAATATGATAGTTAAACAAACTTCAAGGAGCAATTAACACGAATTGATTCGATCAGTCAGTGCACGTGCATTTTTATGGAACATATTTTGTAATAAAACAAATTTTTGGAGTCTCTCAAGTTCACAAATTGTATTTTATATGTGAATGAAAGAGAAGTAAATAATAATTGGAAACACGAATAGACAAGTTCTATTACGATGCGATACGTAACTAACTATTTCTAAACGTTTCAATGTTTCAGACGCCAAGTATTCGACTAGATAAAATGATAACGATTATTTTCACCGCACGAGTTTAACAATAAAGTTGACTAGTCCCACGTCTGATGTTCTCTCGTAGAAATCTTGTTTCTAATTAGAAAGCATTGTCCGTCGCAGTTAAAGCGACGCGTCCCGTTAGAGGACACGCTCTCAAACGAACAATAAATCGCTGTGCAACAGGTAGAGTGTTCGCGAAGGTAAGTGTTCGGTATGGTAATGTCTTGGAACAGGGTAGACGAAAAGTCTCTTCGGGAGCATCTATCAACGTGTGCAGCAGCAGCAGCAGCAGCAGCAGCTTTTTGCTGCCGATTCGACGGAGTGCACTCTCCCAATCAGTGCACTCTCGTTGGAACGCGTCCCGATACACGATAGCGAGAGCCCGACAAAAACTAATATATCTGGCGGCGGGGAACCAGGAAGAATCTCGCACAATCAAAGAAACACGGCGAGATCGCGGCGGTATCGGACGGTTTTCTTAACGGGGAACACCGACACCGGTCACAGCCACGGCGAAACGAGCGCGAGCGGTTCGTCTTCGGCCGATCGACCGGTCCGATAATCCCGCTTACGATTTACTGTCATTCGCGTACGGACCAACTCCGCTCCTCTCTGCACCGGCTCAAGGCGGCGGGAAACAGCGGCGAGAAACAGCGCCGAGATAGTAGCCCCTGAATCGTAGCACCGATAGAGCCACGGTTGCGTTATGTTGCCGCTAATTTGGATTTATGTTCGCATTCGCACGTCGTATCCTGTCTACAGTCTACCGACACCTCGCGCCGCCTCCGACACTGGTCGCGGCCGATCGGAGATCGCCGCCCCCCTTTTTCCACGTTCCGCAGAAAATTTAGCGAATCCCGGGCCATCTCGTCTTCTCGCCGTCTGCTGAAATCCTGCAATCTAACGAGCCACCGATCGTCGATGCATCTTGCGATTGCGGATAGTCCAGAAAGTGGGCCATCATTCAAACGTTTGCTACTGCAATCGGCGAGTCTGTATGCGCTGTCACGAAATCATTCGGCAATTTGTGTAGTAAAGGATTCTTTCGGTTCCCTTTAACCTTTTAGGTTCGGCTGAATTCTGCGCGAGGTTATTTCTCTGGACGGCAGAGTCTGACGTGTACTGTACAGAGTCTGATACTGTATATACAGGGTGTCCCAAAAATGTTTTTCAATCCGAAAGTGGCGGGTTGCTCAGGCCATTTGAAGCAACTTCTTCCTTTACAAAAATTTTCTCCGAGGCACCGTTAACGAGTTATTATTATATAATGCCTCTGAAATAACCAATAACAATATTGATGATGGTTGGCAGCACCGTTAACCTGAAATGTCAAAATAAATACCTTGCAAGTTGTCTGCAGATAGAAACCAAAGGGACCATCTTGTGCAATTGAGATTATTTGTGCTTCTGTCGGTGTTTACTAAATAAGAAAAAAACGTATATAATAGCTCTGGGTTCTTATATCAATAACAATTTATTTATTTGCATTTCATTAATCATTTTGTTACTATTTGTACATGATACAGTTTTGTAACTTTCAGGTTACATTGGAATATTGTGGTAGATTCGAGTGTATTTAGGACAATAGTTGTGCTTTCTTCTATTTTCAAATTTATCTATCAAATACCCAAAGTATGAATACAAAATCATATAAAAATAAAAGAGGAATTAGAATTAGTCGCATTAGCGGTAATAGATCCGAAGATTTTTTATTAGATTCTGAGTCCGATGAAGGTCATCCAGTAACATTTACCAGACGACGCATAAATATTATTGACAGTGACGATGAATTTAGTACCGAATTATCATCGGATGAGGAAAATTCAGGACCACAAAAAACTATTCGGCAACCAATTCCAAATGCAACGTACATCAATGTTTAACGCCAAATTCAAACTGTTTTATGGAATTTCACGCTTAAGCATTTAC